CATATAATATACACAATATATACGTATTTATATATATTCACACGCCAGCCCACACGCTCAGACACTCACACGCACACGCCCTTCCAGGAGGGGCGCACGGCCACCTCAGAGCCCTGCTCAGGCCCAGACAAGTGGTACTGGGCTTGCCAGGCAGTTGTGAGGTTTTGTGTTTTTTTGCTTTTAGAAAGAAGACTGTTTCCTCCAGATGTGTCTTCCCTCTCCCCAAACCCTGAAACCTCTCCCCAAAACACTCTGAAAAAAAATTTTTTTAAAAAAGAAGAGGTTTTCCTCTACTCTGCCAAAGTAGTTACTGGAGAACCCAGGTCTTTCTGCATGCCCTGTGCAGGTCCCTGGAGGGCAATTCCACCCAATGCTCCCTGGAGGACCCAGGTGTGCTGGAAGGGCCCCGATCCAAGGCGCAGACCCTGGGATGGAGGCGGTCAGGCCTGCAGCTGCGTCCCCTGGGTGGAGGGGGCTATAGCATCAAGGGCACCTGCCAGATGAGGAGGGTGCTGTCCGTCTCCCCGCACGGGGCCGGCCTCCCGCTGCTGCCCAGGGCATTGCCAAAGTTGCGGTAGCCCTGCCCGCCAGAGATAATGGCAACAGAGCAAATCTCCTTGCGGTGGGCGTCGCGGGTACAGGGCCGGCTGCGCACCCAGATGTCGGGGTCGTCGGCCATCTCATAGATGGAGCCGTCCTCCTCACTGTGCTCCAGGGCGGAGCCGTCGGTTGGTGCTGGTTCCCGCATGGACAGCAGCGGGCCCGGCAGGTGGGCCGTAGAGCGCAGGCGGTACTGCAGGAGGATGCCCTTCTTGCGGGTCAGCTCACGGCCGACGTGGCTGTCAGGCACGGGCGCCGGCTCATGAGCCTGCCCGTCTGGCTTGTCCTCCTCGGCCCGAGATCCCTCAGCCTCCTCCTGGTCGCTCCTCAGGATGTCTGGGGCCAAGATGCTGGTAGCCACAGCCAGGAAAGCCACAGGTCCACAGTGACCATTGAGTGAGACCATGCCTTTCCCTGCAGGAAACAGGGCAAGGGAGAAGGGGCCCCAAAGGCCCAGCGCATTAAGAGAGGTGCTCACACATCTCTCCTGGAGAACATTCTGGGCGGGGGTTTTTTGTTTGGTTGGTTTTTGGCGACTGCAATCTATGCTGGCACCTCCCCAGAAGGCCATGGATCTGGCTCTCTCGTGCTCCAGGGCTACCTTCTTTCGGAGAGTGGAACAACAGGAGTGACCTTACACCACTTGAGGGAACCTTAGTATAAAATTCCCTGCCCGACAATGTCCTCTTGTCTCCGAGCCTTTGCCCAAGCTGTTGCCTCCATCTAGAAAGACTTTCCCACCTTCCTGACCCTGCAACTCATCCTTCCAGGCCCAGATCAACCTCCTCCACAGCGAATCCCTCCTAAATTCACCCATGGAGAGCTGCTCACCTGTCTCTGAAAGCCCCACATCACAGCACCTACCTCCTGATGATACCTGTGCCCACAAGACCGGGAGGTCTCTGAAGGCAGGGTCCCTACCCCATTCAACCCTGTATCCCAGGACCCAGCCGGGGGATAAGAATATACACCCCTTGGATGAACAGAATGCCTTATTGATGATATAGTGAAAACAGGAAATCTCTGAATTTAGAAGAAACTCTTCTCTAGCAGAGGGGCTCACAATCTGGGTGGGGCTGCCCCCCCCCCGGCCCACTGCCCCAGGGCTGCCCCTTCCTCTCAGCCCTGCTCTCTGGCAACAGCTGGAGGACAACACTTTGTCATCACTCTCAGGGAACGGGCAGAGAGGGGCCCAGGGCTCTAGGTGTCCAAATGTCAGGGGTCCTCCCTGACCTCACCCTCATTCTCCTAGGCCCCAGTGTCCCAGGTCAGAGCAGACCTTCCTCTAATGTATGCAAACACATTTCCACATGGACCCCATGAGGGGACCAAGCACATCCCCTGAAGCCCTCAGTTATTTCTATCTCTGGAGCTAGACAGTTTGAAACTGCTGTGGAATGGGAGCAGAGGGGCCCAGCAGAGCGTCTGCCATTAGTCAGGTATCTCAGCCAATCCTCAAACCATCTGGCCAATATGCACTATTATGCCCATTTGCCAGATTAGGAAACTGAGACTCAGAAAGAAGGAGGGAGACTATAGGGCTGGGATGATTAAAGTCCACTGTGCCACAGTGCCACCTGAGATGAGAAGTTGGAGACCAGACCCCACCCCATATCAGAAGGCAGCATAAACACCTGGGCACTGCTGGCCATCTGCAGCTGATTCCCCAGGCCCTGCCAAAACCAGCTCCCAGAACCTCACCTGTGATCTTGGGGATACCTTCCAGCCGAGGCACAGGCAGCAGGACGATGACACCCTGGTCAGTGCCCACCCAGAGCAGACCCTGGCAGATCAGGAGGCTGGTGACACACAAGTGCTTCTGGCCTGCAGACAGAGAGTCCAGGTTAGCAGCACCCTCCTTGGGGGACAGCAGTGGGTCTGGATGGCACCACAGGTGAGAGAGTAGCACAGTCCAGGCTTCTCCCCTGGGAGAAGCAAGAAGCTGGACAGTGTTACTGTTAAGACCTGGGGCTTGGGGGCTGATGCCACTGGGGTCTGGCCCCTGGGCCCCCCAGCTCCCCCTCCCAGCCTTAGTTTCCTCTTGTGTAAAGTGGAGCGGCCATGATGATGCAACAGGATAACACCATAGGCACAGTGCTGGCCCAGGTGACCTCCTGCTGCCCAGTGGCCAGGTCACCTGGGGCATGAAGCCAGGAAAGCCAGGGGAGGCGCAGAGTTCCCACTGGTGAGGGTGAAACGGGTATTGGCACAGAGAGATGCACAGATGGAGGGGTCCGGGGGGGTGGGCCCAGGAAGTGGTGTGAGCTGGCAGTCTGTCTCAGCCCCTCCACTGCAGTGCCGTTTCCAGCTCAGGCTTGACATATTGCCCACATGGCACTTCTTCCAGCAAGGGGACAGCACACCCTGCACCGGGCCCGAGAGTAAACCACATAACTCACGGCTGGGAATTAGCATGTTTTTTATGTGGGTCCAGATTGATTGTTTTTCGGCTATCCCCATCCCCCGCCACCCCATGCTGTCTCTTCCTCTTGGCAAGAATGGTGATGGCAGGGAGGGCAGTGGGATCCTTGTGCTCCTTGAAGGTGGGATGCACAGGTGGGCCGCCCAGCACAGGGGCGAGAGCTGGGCTCCAGAGCCAGGTGCTGGGTTCAAACCCCAGCCCTGCCACTTCCTAGCTACGTGACCCGGGGCCAGTCCTAAACCTCTCTGTGCCATGGTTCCCTCACTTGTAAGAGGGGACAATGACAATATTCCATAGCATTGTCCCAAGAGTTACATGAGTCAACAAATGAAAGCAATTAACCCAGTGCCTGGCCCGTGGCACGCACAGATAGGTGCCATCTGCTATCATCACCCTTGTCCTCATTAGCAATTCTGATCCATGGGAATGGCACGAGGGAGAGGCTGGGGTGGATGAAGGAGGGTGGAGGCCTCCGAGGGACTGAGAGGTGCAGGGTACCGCCGCCAGCTCAGGGACAGAGCCCCCCACGTGGCACAGCAGGGTGAACAGCCCCAGTGAGCTCCTCCAGGCTTCACCTGGCTCCTGCCTTTCCAAAGGGCTTGTCTCCTGGCCCAGATCCTTCTGCCCCTCTTAGAGGGGTTTATCCTCCCCACAAAGGAAATTCAGATTTATACTGCGCATCACAGCACTAATGGTGCCACAATACATCTGAAATGAGGCTTAGGGCAGCGGTCCTCAAAACTGGCTGTGCATCAGCATCACGAGGTGGGCTCAACACACAGATCAAGGAGCGTAGCCCCAGAGGAGGGGCCGCATTCTAGAAAGTTTCCAGGTAACACTGATGCTGCTGGTCCACAAACCGCATTTCGAGAAATTGTTTTGGAGTTTGCAAAGCACTCGTATACCTGCTGCGATCTGACATAAGCCTTGTAACAACTGAGACGTACCTAAGACACAGATGATATCCCCATTCTCCAGATGAGGATAGTAAGGTTCAAAGAGGCCCTCCTGGTGAGAGCAGGGTTGGGAGTACAGCTAAGCTCTGCTGCTAACTACATACAGCCCAGTCTCCTATTGCCCCTCTGCTCTTGACAAAGAATTTCAGCTGCATACCGTAGGTGTATGTGCTTCCTCTGCAGAGCAGTCTCAGAGAAAAATGGTGCAGCTCCATCACCCCGAAAGGAGAGTTACCATCTTGGGATACATGCAGCACTAACATCACTGATCCATCCACTTGGCACCTAGGAACATCCTACTGTGTGCCAGACTCCGTACTCGGTGCTGGAACCACACATACAAAGTCCCTGCTCTTGAGGAACAAACATTCTAGAACATTCTGCAATGATGGAAATGTGCTCTAGCAAGCTGTGCAATTCGGTAGCCATTAGCCACATGTGGCTACTGAGCACTTACAGTGTAGCTAGTGGGACGGAGGGACTGAATTTTCAATTTTCTTTAATTTTAATAAAGGCTACTGTATTAGATGGCACCTTAAGAGGAGAAATGGGAAATGAAAGCAGAAAAAGGAACATAAATGCAAGGCAGAGGATTAAAATGAGGCAACAGAGCAGACAGTGGGTGGGAGGACTCCCAAGTTTGCTTCGTGCCTCACTCTGCTTCCTGGGAGGATGGGGACGCAGGTATGAGGCTATGAGATCCGGATGACAAGGAGGAGGGAGCCACACCAAGACCTGAGCAAACGCCTGGGAGACAGTACATGTGAAGGCCCGGGGACAAGAAGGAGCTTAGCCAGTCAGGGGCTCAGACTGAAGCCAGTGCAGCTTGGGAACAGGGGGCAAACTTGAGATGACTGGAGGGGAGGTCGAAGAGTGGGGGGCCAGGGCAAGGACAGTGACCTTTCTTTCTGACTGCAATGAGAAGCTCCCAGAAGGTCTAAGCAGGGGAGCGATGTGACCCAATTGTAGTGGAGTGTTCTAGCAGCAGTTGTGGGGGAGGGGGGAAGTGAGACCAGCGAGGGGCTCCAACACCTGCCAAGCAGAGATGGTGGTGGCTGAGACTCAGCAATGGCAGCAAGATGCTGAGGAGCCAGCACGTCCGAGATATGTTCTGATGCAGAACGACAGACCTGTTGACAGACTAGAGTGGTAGGAGAGAGAAGGAGAGGAATCCGGACAACGCTGAGCAGCCGGTGCATGGCAGTGCCGTTGCCGGAGATGGAGACGGGGCAGGTGCAGGTTGAAGTCCAGAGCTCTCCATTGGATGTGGGGTTAGAGGTGCATATGTAGACATCCACGGGGAGCTACCAGGCAGGTCTGGGATAGGTGAGTCTGGAGACAAGATGCAAACTCAAAGAGTCGCATTCACAGTGTTTTCAACGTGGAAATACAAACCACACTGAAAACACCCAAAGCCCATCAGTGGCTTAGTGACTTGACAACAGGGGCTATTTCACAACAGGTATCTGGGTGTTGGGGGAGCTGGGACTGTTTCCCACCCCTGCACCAATTTAGAAAGTGAAGGCTCGAAACCATGACGACGGCCTCCAGTCCAGGAATGGGCCCTCCCTGCCCTCTTGGAATCAGCCAGCATAGGAGGCTCAGGCTGCCGGCTCCCTCTCCTCACCCCGTCTTCTCTCCTTGGCACTGTCAAGGTCTGTAATTACCTTATTTTGCTCTTTGGTTATTTACTATCTACCTTCCCATGCGTAAGCTGCATGAAGGCAGTAGCTTATCTGTGTCCTCAAGGCTAATCCTCCAACTCTTAGCCGAGTACCCTGGCTCCCGGTAGACACTCAGAGAGCATCTGTGAGTAAATGAGCAAATGGATGGATGGATGGATGGATGGATGGATGGATGTAGAAAAGTGAAAAGGCACATGGCACTGATATCCCTTATGAGCTGTGTGAATTTGGACAAGTCACTTTCTTTCTTTCATTGATCAATGAGTATTACAAACCTCCCCTGCTTGGTTTTAGTTTATTAGAAATAGTATATATATTGGGCCAGCCCCGTGGCTCACTCGGGAGAGTGCGGCGCTGGGAGCGCTGAGGCTGCGGGTTCGGATCCTATATAGGGATGGACGGTGCGCTCACTGGCTGAGCGCAGTGCGGATGACACCACACCAAGGGTTGCGATCCCCTTGCTGGTCGAAAAAAAAAAAAAAAGAAATAGTACATATAGACACACACAATTGAGCACAGCTCTGAGCCCATAGTATCCAATCAATAGATGGAGGCTATTAGGATAATGTTTATGATTATTAAAATGACCTAGACTCTAATGTCTTAAGATCAGCTCCATCAGAGTCATAAATGCACAAAAATAATAAAGCCAAGAGAGAAAACAGTGGTGAATTTTTCATTTCACACGCCTCCCCTCCCTTTCCAAGTTCCCTGGGGCCTTGAGACCAGCGGGAGACCGTTTCCTGGTGCCCCTCGTCCTCTGGGCCCCGCTGGACAGCCGACACTCGGCAAATGGAAGGCGGCGAGAAACCAAAAGAGATGCCGGAATAGAGGAATGACTTCATCAGCAGACCTCTTTCCGGGCCCTCCATCCTCCCCCTCCACCTCGAGGAAAAGAGTAAGACACTTCACAAACAGTCCGAAAGAAAAAAAAAATTCTAATGGAGAATAAATATTTTATCACAGAGACTTAATGCAGCAGTGTTCAACTTACCCAAGCCATCTATCTGGAGATATACAACTTTAAAAAGCTCAGGCTCCCGGAGAACATTTTATTAATGACCTGTCTAGTTAAAAGGAGGAGGGAATTTAGGTTAAAAAATGCATTAATACCAGTTGGGTACTCGAGAGGAAAAAAGAGGTCAGGGGAAGGAAGCGTGATAAATTTTTAACATGCCCTACAAAAAAATCCACACTTAGAGGAGGAACAAATTTATTACTAATTATGCAATTATTTCATTTGGTGGTGTGGGGGAAGAAAAAATACTTAAAAGCCTTTTCAAAATGTCTCTAATAAAGAATTTAAGAATCACGCTTTGTTGTTCTTCTGTGAAGGCAAGACATGGGGTGGATCTGAAGCCACCCTGTACCCTCCAGTCCCTACCACTCTGGCTGGGGCTGGCTCTGACTTGGTTTGGAGCTTGAGGAAAACTTCTCAGGCTTGAGGGGTCCTATGTGGACTTGGCCTGGCAGGGCCCCGGGCTCCTCGGTGTTGCTGATAGGAAAGGTCAGGCCTGGAGGCAAGGAGGGGAACTTCGGGAAACCCCTGGAACCTCAGACTACACCCAGACCTGTCCAGAGTGCAGCCCCAGGGAGCAGTGGCATGGAAGGGCTGGAAGGGTGGGCAGGGAGCCCCCGTAGGAGACACATGGCTGACAGGAGCTAGTGTGACGAGGGTCAGGCATGGATGCCCTAATGATGATGATGACGGAGACAATGATGCCATCACATCACCATCGCAGACTGAGACTTACTTGAGCCAGGGACTGTGGGGTGCTGCCCTTGTACCATCTCAGGTAACACCCACACCTGCCCTGTAAGGTGGGGACCGAGGATCAGAGTGTTCTCCACTCTTTCCTGATCAGAGCTGGAGGGCAGCAGAGCCAGCATTCCAGCAGGAATTCTGACTCCAGGCGGTGGTCTACCCTACACAGCATGGCCAAGCTGACTCAAATCTCAGCCCATTGTTGTATAGATGGGGAAACTGAGGCCCGGGATGGGGGTGCGACCATCTAAGACTGCACAGTAAATCTTTGAGAGAGCTGTGATTAGAGCCTGTGGGTCTGTCCTGACTCTGGCCTTAACAGCAATGTGACAGTAGGCCTGTCATTTAACCTCCAGGGCCTCACTTTACCTGGCTCTCAAATAATCGTCATAATAACAAATGCCCTTCCTTCTTTCAAGGGTAGCTGCAGAGAACAAGTCAGTCCATGGACGTGAAAATGCACCTGAAATGCACAGTGAAGCCAGTGCTGTGCAGGTGGGAGCTGCTTCCTGCCTACAGCAGGGTCTGTGCACAAATCCTGCCTCCGATCACTTGATAAACTCGGCTCTTCCTCCCTCTCTCCTCCGTCTCCATAAGACGAGATTCCAAATTAAAGAGGCCCATAAGATTATCCACCTTTTTGTTTTTCCACTAACTTGAAATAATTTAGTGCTCAGCAGAAATGTGGAAATATTTTTGTGATATGGAGGAACCTGTATTGCAGTCAAAATGAATTGAATTTGTATAATGGCTAAATACTGTGAAATACAATGAAACAAAAGCTTCAGAAAGAAAAAGAGAGAGAGAGAGAGAAAAGACAAGACCCTAACATGGTCTCACCAAGCCTTGAATGCTGGAGAAGGTTTCCTCACACTGACACCCACCACCTGCAGGCCTGGCCAGGCACCTCCCCAGCCCTGGTGGCATTTACCCTCACGACGGCTCGAAGCCAGGAACCACATCCTCTCTCATAGAGGGACAGATGAGGGGTTTCAGGAAATGAGAGGACTTGCCTGAAACCAAACAGTGGCCGAGCCAGGACTTGGACCAACTCTGAGGCCACTCTCTTTCCCATAACACACAGAGGGACTCTGAAGTGAGTCCAGGCTACATGACTTGGGGTCCCACCGCTGGCTGGCTGCATGACCATGGACAGGAACCTCGCCCTGCTGAACAGATCACAGTTTCTGCATCTGTAACATGGGGTTACAGATCCCCACCTTACAGGGTTACAGTGACATGAGATCCTGTACGTAAAACACTGGGGACCTGGTTCACTGACTCCTCCCCACCCCCCCGCTGTGTTACCAGTTCAGACTCAAGGACAGTTGCAACTGGCCAGGAGGAAGCAGTGGCCGGGATGATCTCTGGGTCCCCAAGCTGGAGTAAGGGAACAGGCCTCTGGGGTGTGCCTGCCCTTGGCACAGCCTCATAAGCAGGAAGATCAGTCCCAGCTCAGCATACGGCCACTCCCAGCCTCTGCCAAGGCCCACCTGCCGGGTCCTCATGACAACTAGCTCCAGACCCCTTGCCTGCCAGGCCAGCTCTATTTCCCTGGCCCTAGGGCCCTTTAGCAATCCCAGCTGCTGAGCCCAGCCCTGCCTCAGGTGCTCAGATGGGACTGTCTGGTGGAAGGTGAGCCGAGGAGGGAGGCAAGATAAGTTGCCACAGGCTGACCCGGGGCAGAGGATGCACCCTGAGGCCGGTGTCCACCCTGGCCCCCTCCCAGCAAAGCTCCCACATCCTGGGCAGCAGATGGGAGCCAGGTCCAGGGACCTCGGGCAGGGATGGGGCAGGAGCAGGGGTAGGTGGGTGCTCATCTCCACCCTTCATTCCTCTCCACCTCGTCTCATAAACAGCTGTGCAGGAGGAAGCAGCAGCCCCAAGCGGATGCCAACAGACCCCCAACGTCCCTCTGCCCCTAACCCCCTGATCCACAGTCTGACAGGAACGTTTGCCTTGTTTAGTAAAACCTCTAACAGAAGAGACCCTTGGTTGGCTTTCTCTCTCCCTTCACCTCATTTTGAAGGGGATTTGAGGCAGAATTGGGTTTTGGGTCAACCTGAGGCATGGGACAGTGGACAGGCCTGGGATCCTGCTCAGGTTAGCCATTTTCTAGCAGCTGCCTGACTCAGGAGAGTCTGCCAGGCTTGGAGCCCACTCCTAAAAGCCCCAGGCTGCAGGGATATGGTGGCAGGGAGCCCCCAGGCACAGGAAGAGGGGCTTCAGGAATGACAGGCCTGGGTGCAAATCCTGACCCCGCCACTTCCTGCGGAAGGGCCCCCCTCTTGGAGCCTCAGTTTTCAAGGCTGACTGAGGCCACTACAAGGATCAACGGGATGAGCTGCCCAGGTCATACCACCACCTGGCCCTGGAAGGGGCTCCAGGAACACTGGTTCCCTCCCTTTGCCCCCAGCCTCGACAACAGGGTGCCTCACCTGGCAGAAGGAAGGTGGTCCTGGTGGCAATGTTGATCTCCTGCAGATGCTCCAGGGTCTCAGTGTGGAAGAGGCGGATGGAGGAGCCGGCGGAAAAGGCCATCCAGACGCCGCTGCCTGCCTTCACCATGTGCGTCACGCTCACAGCCTCGTCCTGGTGTGCCTCGAAGCTTTGCTGCAGCACAGAGGGAGGGGTGTCACTGCTGGGCCGGGGCACGCCAGCCAAGCCTCCTGACAAGCTGCACTCCTCCCTGGATCAGCCAGTTTCATGTTCTTCAAGAGCACAAGCTAACCCAGCCTCTGCCTGAACCAGAATCAAGGCTAGAGGGAAACCTTAGAAGTGCAGCAGGGGAGGAAATCCCGGTGTGCAGTGTCTGCCGGTTACCATGGTGTAAATACTTTAACTCCGAGCCACCAGTGCAATATCACTTGAATGAGCAGCAGGAAAAGACATGCACACACTCACTCTCACAGGACCAGGCCCTGGCTCTATGCTGCGAATCTTTCTGGATCCTCAGCTTGCAGAGGGAAAGATGGAGCCAAAAGTCAGCGGAGGAGCGAGCAGCAGTTTATCAAGTACTACTTACAATGCGTAATGATGAACGTGCTAATACTATTGATTTGAGCATCACATATTGTACACAAATAATGACAGCCAACACTGTACCCAAAAAATATGCATAATCAATTATGCTTCAATTAAAAAAAAAGAAAGAAAAAATATGTATACTACTTAAAGTGACAAAGACAACCCACAGACCTACTGCGTGAGGGAGGTGGGGAGCGTGAGCCAAATCCTCATCTTTCACAGCAGGGACCACAAACTGACAAATCAGGAAGCAGCAGAGTCAACGCATTAGAGTCATGGGGAAGGGGACTGGTGGATTAAAGACAGAACAGGTGAAAAGCATTTTCTTTCAGGAAGCAGGACTGGGTTGGGGAAGGGGAAAGACCTTTTGAGATAAACCACTCCATGCTGTTTGATTTTTTTTTTCCTTACAGTTGTGTATATAATTTTAATCTTAATACAAACAAAAAAAAAACACCTTTTTTTTTTTAAAGAAAAGATGTAAAGAGTCAGGCTTCCCATCCACTCCTGCCCTTCTGGGCAGGCTCCCTGCACTCCAGGCCAACCAACACCTGTGCCTGATGGACATTAGGACACACCACGCAGCCTGTGCCCTTGCGATGACCTGTCCACAACATGCATCACCCGCTGTCATTGTTCAGCATCTGAAGACTACACTTCAGGCTGGCGTCCCTATTCCACGAAGCTTGTCCCAATCACCCATGGACTGGCCACTTCTTTCTTTTTTTTTTTTTTTTTCCTTTTTGTCT